GGGATTTTGGACCAGATAGGAGCCGCAGAACTTCCCCTCATTGACCTTCCACCTGGGAAAGGTAACCTCTCTCGAAGGAAGCTAATGCACGCGTCGTACTTGTTCCCTTATCCACCGGTCAAGATGTCATCGTCATGCGTCGACATCAGTCCTTGCAAGCGCCGACCGTGGAACAGGAAGAACACGTGCGGGTCCAGCTTGGACTGACGCCAGCTCTCACACCCGTTGCTCGGATTCCAGTCCAGGACGGCGTCTCTGAATTTTCCCGCCACTGAGGTGGGGCGTCGTTGAAGCCGAAGATCGGCCTGATCACCTCAGCAGCTGGTCTGGATGGAGTCCTGGTATGCCCCCGCGCGGATGCTGCAGGCACAGGTCGCCGCCCTCGCGCATGGTGGGATCTGCCTCGAGGAAAGCCACCTCGACCTCACCGATCTGAACCTGGAAGCCATGAGAGGCCAGCAGCTTGTAGGCCACAGCTTTCCCATTATACGAAAGGGTCGGCGAAGAAGTCCAGTTCTCCTGCATGAGCTCCATCGAGTTGGCCCGTGTAGCCTCGACTGCACAGACGCGCCTTGACCATTTCCGTCTCCGCGTCATCGGCTTCACTCTTCAAGATCATCAGGCTGCCGGCGATCCGCTCCGGGCACGTCCGTCGGATCTCATCCGACTCGACCCGGGACACTGGTAACAGAGCGTTCTTCTTGTAAAACAGGTTATCCGCCTCCGTGCCGATGCCGGTGTATATCTTCGCGATGTCCTCCTCACAAGTCCAATCTGGGCCCTTGCGGTTGAGCTCGGGCCAGCCGCCCGCCAGCCTTGCATCCTCCAGCTCCTTATCCTCCTCTGCGCCCGCGCACAGCACGCACAGCTCCTCCTCGTCCTCCACGGTGTCCGACACCACGCTCGCCATCAGCACGCTGTAGATGTCCTCGGACAACCTAGGCCCCTCCGCCGGGTTGACCGTCCTCTTGCCCGCCAGGCGACAGGGCGCCGTCGCGTCAGCCGTCGTCTCAGGGGTCGGCAGCTCGGCCGGAGCCTCGGACTGAGGAGCTGCTTCCGCGCCTCCATCGCGGCCGCCAAGTCCGGATCGCGCCGGCAGCCCCATCCGCCTCATCCTCGGCCGGTGTGTCCGCCTCCGAAGGCACCTCAGCAGTCGGGCCTGGAAGCGCACCCGCTGGCGCCGCGCCAGGGGGCTGGTCGTCCGCCGTGATGTCCCTGAACCCGCGCTGGGGACCTGGGCCATCCATGACCTCCTTAGCCAGGGCTCGGATCGCACGGCACGTTCCGCACTACCAATGCGGATATGGCTCCGAGGAGGGGGCACCCGGACCCTCTTTTCCACCCCTGTGGCAAGCCAAAATGCTGCAACACCAACACGCACATTGTTTACACGCACGGGTAGCATACACATGCCTGAACACGTAATGGGCCCAACAGGCCCTGAGATTAGCACATGCGTACTTGCACGAGCGGAGCGCGCCAACTTGCACACGGTACTGCGCACACACAGGCTAAGGCTTCTAGGTCGTCTGCCACACCACGGCACGCCCACTCTAAGTAGCCTGGCTGCGCATGTATATCGTACGGCGGTTGCACGACAAGACGCGTCCTGGATACATCGCATCATCGACGACCTTGCATGGCTGCGCAGGGTACATGGGGCATTTAAGGACTTACTACCAGGCCCTCATAAGGACTTCTCAGCGTGGGGGAAAAACATGTTGTGATCGCTACCTGCACGGCGCCGCGGCCTTCGTTTCGCCATGCAGGCAGAGGCCAAGGCGCTCGGAGGAGCAGCAATGGCCAATCATGCCTCTGATCAATATTTTGAAATGGTCAGGCCAGCAGGGGCCCCACGCCCTACGACTGACTCAGGGCACCCGCTGTACCCGACCCCAGCACCGATTCCGGAGCTGCAATTCATGTGGTGCGGCCACAAAGGTACATCCAACAAGAGTATCAGACAACACATTGCACGTACGCGTTACAGTCAGGTCAACACGGTATCACGATTCATGGGGGAAGGGATTACATACATGGCGTGTTCAGTTGCCTTTGCCAGCAGGACGTCGTCTCTGAGGGATCACGTGTTCGACGCTCCTCAGTGCTGCCTGGTGCTGCCTGGCCTATTTTACTCACGGTGCCGCCCTCAGCTCGGAGCGTGCTGAGGAACTCCGACTTCAGGAATTCGAGGACCTCGCCAGGCAGGAGAAAGCCGGCTTGGGTCGATGGCGAACTGCCCACCCAGCGAGGGTAGATTACCAACCAGACGGACTGCATCCATCGGCGATGCTGTTCTCAGCTCTTTCTACAGAGCAAGAAGCGAAGGACTTGCTGCAGACCCCCGAGGCTTGCTACGAGCTGTCCCCGAGGCTCTTCATAACTACCGAGATCTCTTCCAGCCCTCCGACGCCCCCTCTCCCACCCACCCACCCAGGAAGGTCCTCAAATTGCAGACTGGTTTTGGCCATATCGTTTCCATGACTGCGAAGGGGTTTGCTGCGTCTTCTGTGCTGTTTAGAATACACATGATGACAATTGTTGTACTGGATTTATTCTGCGGTCGAAGGAGGGAAGGAGACATCCAGACGTGGACCGAGCGTGATTTCACCTCACCTGCACATCCGGTAGTGATGATCAGTGTCGGCAACGCCGCTAACAGTGACTTAGAAACATGAAGCAAAGAGCCACAACCCGAACCTGTGGGGAGAACATCTTGGCACGACGTGTATGGAATACGGGGGGGCCCTGTGAGACGCGGAGCGCCGCCAGATGTCTGGAGCGCCCCCCCCCCACTGCGTACCAACGAATGGTTATGGGGCTGGCCTGCCACATTGTGACAGGCACGAAAGCCTGGATGGAGCACCCTCTTCAACCCCATTGGCGTCCCGAAGCCCCAAACAGTTTCTACTGGGAACCCCTGGAAGCATTACGCTCGAGCCTCATCTGTTTACTGCCCACTTTGACCAGTGTCTGCACCACCATCTGGACCCGAGTGAGATAAAGAAAGCACTGACGCAAATCATTGGATTACGGATGCCCTCGCTCGCCTCACGTTTCCCCAGCGCTGGCGACAAGGGTAAATGCTTTCACCCCAAGGGCTCCCACGTGGTCGAGGGCAAGACCTCCAATAATGAGTTCAAAACCAGCCTGAACAAAACATACCCACCCAACGTGTGTCGACACATAGCTGGGGCTACTTGAGGGGGGGGAACCAACATCTGATTCAATTGATCGCACCATCGATCTCACTCAACGGGACACCATGGGACACCAGGGGACACTTCTCGATCTCACTATCGATCTCAGTATCGATATCACTCAACGGGACACCACGGGCCACCACGGGACATCACCGCGGGACACCTCTCGATGTTACTATCGATCTCAGTATCGATATCACTCAACGGGACACCATAGGACAACACGGGACACCACGGGACACCTCGGGACACCATATCGATCTCACTATCGATATCACTATCGATCTCAGTATCGATCTCAATTAACGGGACACCACGGGATATCACCGCGGGACACCTCTCGATTTTACTATCGATCTCAGTATCGATATCACTCAACGGGACACCATAGGACACCTAGGGGGCACCACATCGATCTCAGTATCGATCTCAGTATCGGTCTCACTATCGATCTCACTCAACGGGACACCACGGGACACCACGGGACACTGGTCGATCTCACTACCAATCTCACTATCGATCTCACTTTTTGGGACACCACGGCTCACCTCGGGGCACCACATCGATCTCAGTATCGATCTCAGTATCGATCTCACTATCGATCTCACTCAACGGGACACCACGTGACACCACGGGACACCACGGGACACCACGGGACACCACGGGACACCACGGGAAACCGCGGGACACCGCGAGCCACCGCCGGACGGACGGACGGGCGAGCGGGGGAGAATCATGAGTTTTGACTTCGCCCTAGCAACGGCGGACACCACTGGACACCACGGGACACCACGGGACACCGCAGGACACCGCGAGCCACCGCCTGACGGACGGACGGGCGGGCGGGGGAGAATCATTTGTCTTGACCTCGCCCTAGCAACGGCGGGTTCATTCCTCTCGCGCGCTCACGCAATTTCGCCTCGCCCGCACGCACACGAAACGAAACGAAATGATTTCCCGGTTGGGGGTCTCCGTTCCACTGCGATCTCACCCCCCAACCTCCGATATGCACATGACTGTAATGTGATGGCCGAGGACAGTGACCCCGACCTTGTGCAGGGACTTTGGGAGTTCTGCGTCCGAGAAGTGTGTGATGACTTCACAGAGGCACCTGACTTTGCGATGGCGAGGAAAAAAAGGGCTCGAGTGGAGCCCGAAGACCACAAATTTCAGCCCCCAGATCCCGACAATGCAAAATATGTTTGTGCACCGACTCCGGCTTGTCAACCGACTCCATATTCTGAGGGCCCTCCCACCCCGTTTCACTGGACTTGGGCGAAGAGCATGAGGCAGAAGATCTCTTGGGTTCCCCCCTCCCCCGCCCCCGCACTCGCGGCCGCCTCCTCTCCCTCCTCCCCTCACCTCCGGGCAGCTGAACCTCATCGCTGCCAACAGGGCGGAGGCCAGACGCTGGCCGGAGGCCAAACGCGCCGCCGACCTGCAGATGCGGGAGCCTTGGTGAGGCTCCCTCATCGTCGAGGGCGTCTTCGAGGTGTTTTTTTGTTTTTTTGTGTTTGCTTTTGCTATAGGATTGGGGGATTGGGGATTTTTTCGAGGCCGTCAGAGCACAGCGTCCGCGCTCATGCCACCGTCCCACTATCACCTCGCCCGCCCGCTCTCCCTCCTCGCATCTTGCAAAGCCGCGCGTCGCATCATTTACCTGCCCCCCCCCCCCCTGGCGCGCCGCCTGGATCCCGTCGCCGTCCAACCGCATGCTCACAAAGCCGCTGCGGTCCCCGGACGCGCTGAGGGCGTACCGCCTCTGTGCCAGAGTCGCCGCCGTGCACGCGGCCACGTTTAGTGGCGCCGAGTCGTCGGGCTTGCGGAACGCGGCGCAGAGAAACTCCTTCGACGGGCAGCCACACGTGGCCCACTCCAGGAGCCCTGAATCAGACGAAGGCAGGATGAGGACAGAGTCGGATACGAGGACAAGTCGAGTCTCTGAGGGCCGGCGGGTCTGAAAAATGTATCGGGCACCGCGGACGGTTCCAGGTTCCAGAGCGATCCGGAATGCTCTGGGAGCGCTCCAGAAGGATTTATCCTTGTCCTGGGCCTGCCGGACGGCATGCTGGCATGTCCGATTGGCCAGAGCCTGCGGCTGGCACACGCTCGAACACTCCCAGATAGGGGTCATCGCAACGCACTGCTAAGCATGTCGCACCGCCTGCCCCTACAGGGGGCAGATTCCCCCATATTGTAAGTTGGGGTTCTTGGTACTCCCCATATCCTCGGATAGGGTTATCGTCATTATAGTGTGATTTCTCTACTTCCCTCTTTCCTCCTCTTCCACTGCCGTCCCCACTCCTGGCCCCCCCTGTCTTACATCTCCTCACTGACACCCGGACTGAGACTCACTCATACTCAGACTCTGAGTGACTCACTCATACTAAGATTACTCCTCTCCAGACCTCACACACACACGGTCCCATTAAGACTCAGACCCACGCGTGCTCAGAGATCACTCACACTCAGATCAACTCGTCAGCAGCCTAATCATGCTCGCATTCATACACACAGGCCACTCACACTGTTATCAGTCAAAGACAGACTCGTCAACACTCAGACTCACAATATAACAAACTCACACCTTACGACTCATACTCAGACACACTCATACTAGCTATTCATACTCAGACTCGCGCGGGCACCCCGCGATCACTGTGCATTAGTTTTTGACTGGGACGGCGGGGGTGCTGGCATATTGCCTGCTGTGTGCAGGGCCACCCCGCCGCGATTGCGCACTCGTATTCGATAAGGGTGGTGGGTGCACGTGGATCACGTAGCGCATCTGGTGCACCAGGCGTGCCTGGCGCGCTTTGTCCACAAGGGTGCCTGGCGCACCTGGCGCGTGGGGCGCGCCTGGCACGCGTGGCGCACCTCGACCCAGCGTTGCGCACATGGGATCTGTTTTGGCCCCCATTAGCTGTCTATCCAAAGGCGACCGCTGAGCGTGCTGAGGCCATGATGCTGCTTCTGCGTTGGGAGGGCGGGTGGGAGTGAGCCAGACGGCTTGCGGGCGGGGAGCATTTATCACTGCTACCTATTCATAAACACCCCCTCCCCAGGCGACGGGCAGCCAACCAGGACCAATGAGGACACCCCCGCCAGTCCAGTCAACAAACGATGTAAAGTCTACTTCGGGGTAAGATCTTGGGTCGTGATCGGAGGGGCCGCGAGCACTTTGCATTGTTTGTTGACAGGGACGGCGGGGGTGCCCACATATTGCCTGCTGTGCGCAGGACCTGCGTCCTTTTCAAAAGAAATGCAACATTCACTTTGAGGCAAATCTGGATCATGCGCGGGCAGCCCGCGATCGCTGCGCAGTGGTTTTTGACTGGGACGGCGGTGACCACTGTTCCCTATGAATGAACAACCCCTCCCCGACCTGGCCGGCAGCTTGCCTGGAACCATGCGGGCACACCCCCCCACCATCCCTATCAAAAAACAATACGGAATGCACATCGCGGGGCCCACCATGCCAACACCCTCCACAATCCCTAACAGAAAATTAGCCTGGCGAAGGACCCAACCATATGCAGTTGTGGGTATCGCATCCGGGGGAACCCCGTATGGGGCCACGAAACGCTGTGCTGGGTGTGGCGGACGTATGCGCCCCCCCCACTGGGGCCTTCGGTGGAGCTCCCTATGGTGCCACGAAGCGCTGTGCTGGGTGTGGCGGACGCATGCGCCCCCCTCCACTGGGGCCCTTCGATGGAGCTCCCTATGGGGCCACGAAACGCCGTGCTGGGTGTGGCGGACGCATGCGCCCCCCCCCCCCCACTGGACATCCAGTGGAGCTCCCTATGGGGCCACGAAGCGATGTGCTGGGTGTGGCGGACGCATGCGCCCCCCCCACCACTGGGGCCTTCGGTGAAGCTCCCAATGGGGCCACGAAGCGCTGTGTTGGGTGTGGCGCATCCATGCGCCCACCTCCAGTGGGACCTTCGGTGAAGCTCCCTATGGGGCCACGAAGCGCTGTGCTGGGTGTGGCGGACGCATGTCCCCCCCCCCACTGGGACCTTCGGTGGAGCTCCCTATGGGGCCACCCACGAAGCGCTGTGCTGGGTGTGGCGGACGCATGCGCCCCCCCCACTGGGGCCTTCGGTGAAGCTCCCAATGGGGCCACGAAACGCTGTGTTGGGTGTGGCGCATCCATGCGCCCACCTCCAGTGGGGCCTGGGTATGGAGCTAGCTCCCTATGGGGCCACGAAGCGCCGTGCTGGGTGTGGCGGACGCATGCGCCCCCTCCCCCCACTGGGGCTTTCGGTGGAGCTCCGTATGGGGCCACGAAACGCTGTCCTGGGTGTGGCGGACGCATGCGCCCCCCTCCACTGGGGCCTTGGATGGAGCCCCCTATGGGGCCACGAAACGCCGTGCTGGGTGTGGCGGACGCATGCGCCCCCCCCCCCAGTGGGACCTTCGGTGGAGCTCCCTGTGGGGCCACGAAACGCTGTGCCGGGTGTGGCGGACGCATGCGCCCCCCCCACTGGAACCTTCGGTGGAGCTCCCGATGGGGCCACGAAACGCTGTGCTGAGTGTGGCGAACGCATGCGCCCCCCTCCACTGGGGCCTTCGGTGGAGCTCCCTACGGGGCTACCAAAACGTGTGAGAGGCGTGCCGAGAGCAAAGGCAAGTAGGGGGAGGAGGGAGGATGGGGAGGAGGGAGGAGGGAGGAGGGAGGAAGGAGGAGGGGGAGGAGGAAGGAAGGAAGGAGAGACGCGGGGCAACGTCTCTTCAAAACGAGGACCCAACACCACAGGATGGTTGGGAACAATACGAAGTGCACATTCCAACAACATCTGGACAGTGCGCTGGCGCCCCGTGAGCACGTTGTATTGTTCCCAACCATCCTGTGGTGTTGGGTCCTCGTTTTGAAGAGACGGCCCCCGCGTTTCTTCCGTCCTCATCCCCCTCCTTCCTCCTCCAATCATCATCATCATCATCATCATCATCATCAGCATCATCATCATCATCATCATCATCATCATCATCATCATCATCATCATCATCATCATCATCATCATCATCATCATCATCCTCATCCTCATCCTCATCCTCATCATCATCATCATCATCATCAGAAATCATCATCATCAGCATCACCATCACCATCACCATCACCATCATCATCATCATCATCATCATCATCATCATCATCATCATCATCATCATCATCATCATCATCATCATCATCTGCATCATCATCAGCAGCAGACTCATCATCACCACCATCACAACCAGTACAGCGCTTCGTGGTCCCATAGGGAGCTCCACCCAAGGCCCCGGTGGGGTTGGCCACATGCGGCCGCCACACCCAGTATTGCGCTTCGTGGTCCCATAGGGAGCTCCACTTGCGGCCCCAATGGGGGTGGCCACTTGCGTCCGCCACACCCAGTACTACCAGTACAGCGCTTCGTGGCCCCATGGGGAGCTCCACCCAAGGCCCCAGTGGGGGTGGCCACTTGCGTCCGCCACACCCAGTACAGCGTTTTGTGGCCCCATACGGAACTGCGGCCCCAATGGGGGTGGCCACATGCGTCCGCCTCGCCAAATACAGCTCGTCGTGGCCCCATAGGGAGCTTCACGTAAGGCTCCAGTGGGGGTGGCCACATGCGTCCGCCACACCCAGTACAGCGCTTCGTGGCCCCATAGGGAGCTCCACCCAAGGCCTGAATGGGGGGGGGCACATGCGTCCGCCACACCAAGTACAGCGCGTCGTGGCCTCATAGGGAGCTTCACGTAAGGCTCCGGTGCGGGTGGCCACATGCCTCCGCCACACCCAGTACAGCGCTTCGTGGCCCCATAGCGAGCTCCACCTTCGGCCCCACTGGGGTGGCCACATGCGTCCATCACACCCAGTACAGCGCTTCGTGGCCCCATAGGGAGCTCCACCAAAGGCCCCAGTGGGGGTGGCCACATGCGTCCGCCACAGCCCCAGTGGCACCGCCCGCATGCGTCCCCCCCACCTGGTACAGCGTTTCGTGGCCCCGTAGGGAGCTCCCGTGGCCCGCCCGCATGCGACCCCCCCACCCGGTGCAGCGCTTCGTGGGCCCATTGGGAACTCCACCGAAGGCCACAGTGGCACCGCCCGCATGCGTCCCCCCTCCCGTGGCCCCATAGGGCCGAGCTTCACCGAAGGTCCCAGTGGCACCGCCCGCATGCGTCGGCCACCACTCAATGCAGCGTCGTAGGAAGCTTCACAAAAAGACCCCAGCGGCACCGCCCGCATGCGTTTCCCCCAACCAGTACAACGTTTCGTGGCATCACCGGAAGCTCTAGCGAGGGGCACCGCCCGCATGCGTCAGCCACACCCAAGACAACGTTTCGTGGCCCATAGGAAGCCCCACCGAAGGCCCCAGTGTCACCGCCCGCATGCGTCTCCCCACCAACTACGGCACGTCCCTCACACGTTTCGTGGCCCCATAGGGGGCTCCACCGAAAGCGGCATTCGCCAAGACCCAACCGTCTTGTGGTGTTGAGTCCTCGTTTTGCAGAGACGGTCCCTGCGTTCCTTCCTCTTCGCCCCCCTCCCCCAGGGGGGTGGCCACATGCGTCCGCCACACCCAGTACAGCGTTTCGTGGCCCCATAGGGAGCTCCACCCAAGGGCCCCGTCGGGGTGGCCACATGCGCCCGCCACAACCAGTACAGCGCTTCGTGGCCCCATGGGGAGCTCCACGTAAGGCCCCGGTGCGGGTGGCCACATGCGTCCGCCACACCGAGTACAGCGCTTCGTGGCCCCATAGGGAGCTCCACCCAAGGCCCCACGTGGGGGTGGCCACATGCGGCCGCCACACCCAGTACAGCGCTTCGTGGCCCCATGGGGGGGTCCACCCCAGGCCCCACGT